TGGTGACCTCATTTTAACTGTATCCCCTCTGTAAAAGGCCCTATTTCCAAGTAAGGTCACAGTCTGAAACACTGGAAGTCATGACTCCCACAAATCTTCCGTGTGGGGAGACAATTCAATTCATAACACCCCCTATATTCTGTTTTTAGTACAGAAACCAGAGCGATTTTGTTAAAACATAAATTACATCATGTTCAAAGTCTTCTAAGAGCTTAGTGAAGCCAGAGTTATGACAGTGGCCTACCAGGCCCAGCACTGTTTGCTCCATCCCTTGCCTCTTTGTCTTTACCTCGTACTTTGAAGGTCAACATTGTGTCGTGACTAAAGGCAAGGAGTCTTGGACCCTGACTACCTAGGTTTAGATCCTAGGTCTGATACCTACTAGCTATGTCAGCTTGGGAAAGTTACTTAAACGTTGTACCTCAGTTTTCTCATCCGTAAAATGGGATAAATGAGAGTACCTACCCCTAAGGATGTTATAACGATCAATATTTGTAAAGTTAGAATAGTGTCTGCCATATTATATTAATAGCAAAAACTTGTAGCCAATTTTTCAGTCCCAGACACTGTTCTAAGCTATGTATCTAGTTAGGTAGGTAGGTAGGTAGGTAGTTAATTTTTAAACAATGCTCTTGAAGTTCTTTTAAAGACTTTATTTATTTTTTAGAGAGAGGGGAAGGGAAAAGAGAAGGAGAGAAATATCAGTGTGCAAGAAATACATCTATTGGTTGCCTCTTGCATGACCCCAACTGGGGACCCAGCCTGCAACCCAGGCACAAGCCCTGACCAGGAATCAAACTGGTAACCCTTAGGTTTGTAGGCCAACACTCAGTCCATAGAGCCACACCAGCCAGGCTTAAGCTCTTTAATGTAGTCATTTATTTAATCCTTACGGCAACCCTATGAGGTAGCTGCTATTATTATCCTTATTCACAGCCAAGGAAACTGAGGTAAGTGACTTGCCCAAAGTCACAAAGCTAGTAAGCTGTGAACTGGGATTTCAACCCAGAGAGTTTAGGTCCAGAATCCAGTCTTTTAACCACTGCACAGTACTACTGCTCAGTAAGTATTTATTTATTGAGACAAGTGATGAATACTTGATGGTGAAAAAAAAATCTCAGTTTACCTAAAAATGCCTGTCTTGTCCTTGTCTTTAAAAGATAGTTTTGCTAGGCACATATTCCTAGGTTTAAAGATGTTTTTTCAGCATTTTGAAGAATATACTTTGCTGTCATCTGACTTCTGGTTTGGTCCTATCAGTCAAATTATAGATCTTTTGTAGGAAATGTATTATTTTTTCCCCTTGAAATGCATTTAAGATCTTAATGTTTTTGTTATTCTGCATTTTGACTAAAATTTAACTGTGTGTATTTTGATTTTGTAATTTGCCCCAGGTGTTATATATTGTGCTTCTTATATCTACACATTCCTGTTTTATCTTCATTCTTGAAAATTCTTATTATCTTTTTTATTAAAAAAAAATGCAAATTTATTTTTTAAATATATTAACATGGTTTCATCCATTACAAAGTATATTTTTCCTCCCATTCTTGTTCTTCTGTCACCCAGCATCTCACCCCAGTATGTTTTGCCTTTTCAAATCTGTCCTTTTCCTTCATCTTCTTATTCTGAGACTCCAGTTTTATACAAACTAGTCTGTTTCTTCATCTGCCTTATATCTCTGGGCCTCTTGACATTTTCTATCTCCTTATCTCTCTGTGCGGCATTCTGGATAATTTCTAATCTATCTTTACATCTGTCTCCAATTTCCTCTTTCAACTTACCCATTGAATTATTTTTAATGAATAGGTGTTGTTTGAGCAGTTTAAGGTCTATAGAAAAATTGAGCAGAAAACACAGTTCCTGTGTAAGCTCTCAGGCCTCCACCTTCCCACTCCCCTGGATTCCTCTATTATTAATATCTTACATTTAGTGTTACTTTGTTACAATTGATGAGCATTAACTAAAGTCGGTGGTTTGTATTAGGGTTCACTCCTCGTGCTGTACATTCTGTGGATTTTAATGAACATATAAATGACATGTGTATTAGTTTCCTAGAACTGCCATAATGAATACCACAGAATCAGTTAAACACAGAAGATTCTTTTTCACAATTCTGAGGCCCAGTTCAAGCATGATCATGTGGTTGGCAGGGTTGGTCTCTTCTTGTAGATGAGCACCTTCTTTCTTTGTCTTCAAATGGTTTTCCCTCTATGTGTGCCTGTGTCCTAATCTGTTTTTATAAGGACATATTAGATTAGGGTCCACTCTAATGACCTCACTTGAACTTAACTACCACTTAAAAACCCTGTCACCAGATACGGTCATACTCTGAGGTGCTGGAGGTTGGGACTTCAACATATTGAATGTGGTAGGGGAGACACAATTTAGCACATAACAAGATGTATCAGCCATTACAGAATCATATAAAATAGTTTCTCTGCTATAAAAATTCCTTTTCCCACCTATTCATTCCTGCCTCCCCCATGAACCTCTGGCAATCACTGATCCTTTTCCTATCCATAGTTTTGCCTTTTCCAGAATGTCATAGTTGGAATCATTCATTATGGAGCCTTTTCACATTGGCATCTTGCAGTTAGCAATACTCATTTAAGTTTCCTCGTCTTTCTGCGGCTTAATAACTCATTTCTTTGTATCCCTGAATGTCCATTGATTTTATATTTTAACAACTATATTTTTAATTTCTAAAAGTTCTGTTTTTGTGCCTTTACCTTTTGCCCATTTTGTGTGTTGTTGCATGCCCATTTTTGTGATCCCATGTGTTATTTCTTTAAATGATCATGCATAGTTAGTTTTGTATTCTGTGGTTGATAATTCTAATAACTGAATCCTTAGGGCTCTAAATCTATTTGTTCTTCTGCAGACTCTTGCTTGTGGTGACTTGTTTTTTTATTACACGTTTGGGTATCTATGATTGTGAGCTCGTAATGGTTGTTCACCATTGGCTATCCTGAAGACCTAAAGCATTTGATTAATCTGGAAACCAGGGGGTACTATTGACATGGAATCACTATAGTCTTTTTTTGACAGTGGACTAATATAGAGTCTCAGGTTTGTTTCTTCCATTTTGCCACATATAATGGATGTCTGCCTTACCTTTTAGTTGTTGCTCATGGTTCCTCATCTGGTTTTAGTTTACTCTGTGTTTGTGTTCATTACTGTGAGTACATTTTGAAAGTCTGTTTTATCTAGGATTTCATTGACTGTCTAGTCTGGCATCCTGCCAAAGCAGGATCAAGTTGCCTGAGTTTAGGTAGGTATTGGCAAATAGAATGAGGTACCTTCCAATTCTGAATATCTTCTCAATTTCACTCTTACTTAATCATTCACTCTTTAGGATTAGACTTTGTGCTGTAGGCAAATGACACGTTTTCTCTTAGCCAGCACCCCGTGCTGTTGGGAATAAAAAGGGATGATGGTTAGTTTGGATTCTGCCCCCATGTGCTAATCTCAATGAGCTATGTATTTTTCTGTTAACACTGATGGAAATTTGAATTTACTCCTGGGAAAGAGAGACCTAAAATACAGTATAGTAAATGAGAATCATAAAGTTTAAGGTTAAATCTCAGCTTGGCCATTTACCAACTATGTGTCCTGGTACAGGTTATGTAACTTCTCTGACCTCAGAAGTCTCAACTGTAAAGAATAACAAAAGTTGTCATTCATTCACTGATCATTAATACCTATTTTAGTGATGAGAAAATGGAAGTATAGAGAGGTTAAGTAAAAGGGTTATTGTAAATTATTGCCAAATTTAAATGAGTTTAACAGGTGTGGTGTGCCAGGCATATATAAGGTGACCAATAAATAACAGCTAGCATTATTATGGTCATTAATATTTTCCAGATATAAAATTAAGTTATTATGTTATGGCCAAAATAAGATTCATTTACTCAGTAAATACTTTACAGAACACTTACTTTGGCCACGTGTAGTGCCAAGTGCTAAGGAAACAGGAGGGAATAAGACAGATATGGTCCCAGCCTTTAGGGAATTCCCTTCGGGGTGAGAGAGACCATGACACATCCAACATTTACAGTTCAGCCTGGGAAGTGCCGTCTTGGGGCACAAATAGGGTGCTTTGGGAATCAGGGAAATTTTTCCAGAAGAAATGCCCTTTAGGTTTATATCTGAAGAATGAATTGGAGGTGAGGGTAGAAGGAAAGGCAGAAGGAGCAGTGATTGTGAAAGCTGGAGGAAAGTGCATACTGCATTTAAAGAAATGAAAGAAGCTTTGTGTGTAGGATTTTAGGAAAAATATGCAAAGTAAGCCTGGAGAGGTGGGCAAGTGCCATGTTCTGAAAGGCTTTGTAAGTCCTGTTACAAGAGTTTGACCTTTCTTTTTAGGGCATTGGAAAGATTCTGAAAAGTGTTTACTTACCACAGATGTGATTTTAAAATATCACTCTAGCTGAAGTATGGGAAATAAAAGCAAGAATAGCTTTAAAAATATTGTCTCATTTAATCCTTACATCAACACTTGGAGGTATTATCTTGATTTTACAGATGAAGAAACTGAGACTTGGAGAGCTTACTTTAATCACAAAATTAACATATTTAATAGGAAGTAGGGTCCACACTCATGTCTTTCTGACTCTAAAGTCATGTTTTTGTATTGTCTTCGACTAGTAATGATTCATTGGTGACCTGTTTTATGTTTACTCTGTGGAAAATTCTCATTCATTCTTACGGTATTATTTTCATACTCTGTGTTAGGTTACAAAGCATTTTATAGACATTATTTAAGTTCCTTAAAAGCTATGAGTAGGCAATGTTATTTCCATTTTACAGGTCTTAAAAGTGAAGCTTGAAGTATGGGACTGTCCATGGTCCCATATACCTAGAAAGTGGTGGAGTTGGGACTTAAACACCATGCTCTTGACAGAGGAAAGCCTTTTATGGGTGAACACGCCATACTTCTTTCTTGGGTCTTTGCTCTGTGTTCATGTGTGAATGTTTATAAGACTCTTTCCTTCTAGGTTTTGGAGATCATATTCATTGGAGGACACTAGAAGATGGGAAGAAAGAAGCAGCTGCCAGGTACAAGATATGGTTTTAGGTTATTTATGGTGGTAAAACACTTTTCAGACTTCAATTTAGCATTAATTTCAGGTGAAGGTCATGCCAAAGCAGAGCAAGAACTGAGTATTGCCCGATATCAACAATGATAATACTGTCTAACATCTATTAAGTGCTTACTATGTACCAGATGTTGAATTATGTGAATTAGTGTATTTAATTTTCATGGGAACTCTTCTGATGTGGATACTGTTGTTATCTTCATTTTGGAGATAACTAAGGCACAGAGCACTTAAGTAACTTGTCCAAGATAACACACCTAGTAAGTGGTGAAACCAAGATTCAGATGTAGGCATTCTGGCTTCCAAGCCTCCACTCAACCAGTAAACCATACTGCCTATTAGCCTCAAATTGAGTAGTCTTAAGTTCCAAGTAGGTTTAGTCTCTGCACAGAAAACTGATACAAAGGGGAAGAAAAGGGTGAAGTAGGGGAGGGATGTGCTGTGCATGCATTAATTTATTTAATCCTCACAACCTCTGAGGTCGCTTCTGTCTGTGAAATAAAAACTGTTATACAGGGAAGAAAATTGAGATACAGAATGGTTAAATAACTGGACAATAGTTTACACAGCTAGTAAATGGCAGAGCCAAGTTTGAATGTTCTCTACTATACTGTTCTGGAGAGATAAAAAGACCCAATATGTATGCACATCTACTTATACATACACATGCTTGCACAGAAACACTCACACTTCTGCAAATTATAGTGCTTGCCTTTGCTACAGATCCTACAGCTTTATAGTTCTGAGTCTCAGACCTGCATGACTAGATTTAACAAATAAAAATAAAAGATGTCCAAATTTTAATTTCAGGCAAACAATTAGTTTAAATATTCCCTTTGTAATGTCTGAGACATACTTATATTAAAAACTTTTTGTGTTGTATATCTGAAATTAAAATTTAACTAGGCATCCTTTATCTGGCAACCTTACCAAGGAGAAAAATTCCTATTAGTTTTTCAAGTTCTTAATCAAATGACTATTTCTAGATAAAGTCTTCAGCTATTTTTCTGGGTAGTTTTTTTCCCTTTTCTGTACTGTTACAACCCAAACTTTTTGTACATCCATCCACATCCATTAATAATATATATTATTCTGCTTACAGGTGCCTAACTCTTCCATTCAGACCCTTGATCTCCAATGGGGGAACTATTTTATGTTCATCTCTGAATCCCCAAACATGGAGTTTTGAAACTGTTATTGAGAGTCACTGGGTGTAAGGGATGAAGGAAAACTAGCATTTGTGAATTGTCTTCTTTATGCTAAATACAGTTCCGATTGTTTTGCAGTATTTAATACACATTAAGGCCCCATTAGAAATGAATGGGCCAAGTCTTTGACCGCAGGGTGATAACATTCCCATGAGGCCTATAACATTTTACATAAATAAATGATGCCATTCTCGTCCCCATCTCCTTTCTGGGAGAACAAGAACTGGGTCTAGTTGGCTAGAACTGCTTCCATAGCAACAGCCCTTTAAGGGCCAATGATCGCCGGAAGTTCAGTTTTTACTTCCGGGTTGTGCTTTACCGCAGACAACCCGGAAATTGGCCCGGGTGTTTGCTCGCAGCCGCGCCTGGGGAGGATGCCGCTCGCGGTGTTTTGTGGTCTGCCGTACTGCGGCAAGAGCAGACGTGCAGAGGAGCTCCGCGGGGCGCTGGCGGCCGAGGGCCGCGCGGTGTACGTGGTGGACGACGCGGCGGTACTGGGCGCTGAGGATGCGACAGTGTACGGCGATTCGGCTCGTGAGAAGGCATTGCGTGGGGCCCTGCGCGCCGCTGTAGAGCGGCGCTTGAGTCGTCACGATGTGGTCATCCTTGACTCGCTTAACTACATCAAGGGCTTCCGCTACGAGCTCTACTGCCTGGCGCGGGCGGCGCACACCCCAATGTGCCTAATCTACTGCGTACAGCCAGGCAGTCTGAACAGGGGACCTCGGGTGGCAGACGTGGAAGACTGTCGGAGCCAGAACGTCAGTGTGAGTTCGCGGCCGCGCACCGAAGAGGGAGGGAGACCTTTGTCAGCGGACACCGGTTTCCTCAGGGAATCGGGAGCAGTGGATTCGATAGTAAATGGAAGAGCCCAGGCACGGGCATCGAAGGAAATGGAGCGGGAGGAAACCAGGGCGCCAGATCTTGCAGCTCTTGTGACTCCGGACTTTGAGAAATCTGCAAAGCATATGTCCAGTGCCTTTTACCCCGCGGAACTTCTGGAAGCCTTAATGCTGCGCTTCGAGGCTCCCGACTCTCGCAACCGCTGGGACAGACCCCTGTTCACCTTGGTGGGCTTAGAGGAGCCATTGCCTCTGGCAGAGATCCGGGCTGCTCTGTTTGAGAACAGGGCTCCTCCACCTCATCAGTCTACACAGTCCCAGCCCCTTGCCTCTGGCCGCTTTCTGCACCAATTGGATCAGGTCACGAGCCACGTGTTGGCGGGACTGATGGAAGCTCAGAAGAGTGCAGTTCCCGGAGACTTGCTTAAGCTTCCTGGTACCACGGAGCACCTTCGGTTTACTCGGCCCTTAACCATGGCAGAACTGAGTCGCCTCCGACGCCAGTTTATTTCCTACACCAAAATGCACCCCAACAATGAGAACCTGCCTCAGTTGGCCAACATGTTCCTGCAGTATCTGAGCCAGAGCCTGCACTAACCATAGTAGGTTGGGGGAAAGCCATGGCTACTTGTCTAACCTCTCCTGCACTGTATTTCTTTGGAAAGAATGATCAAGGTCTTCAGAGCATATCGATGTGTGATACCAGAACTGTTGTGACTGATTCACCCTTTGTGTAATGCCTCTGTGTCAGGCATTAAGTTTAAGGCATACTCTGAGACTAGAAAGAATGGAGAACAAACTTAAAGGACCTTGGCAAATTTCTCCAGAGGACAGAGCTCAGGTGGACAGGGCTTGTTTGGATTGGGTTCTATTTGAGATACCATATTCCACTGATTTCCCCATCTGAATTGTGGGAGAGCAGACTGGATGAATTGTTTTAAAACAGTTGTGAACGGAAACTGAAGATGGCACAGTTCTGCATCTGCATTGGCCCTTTTCTCATACCACACATAGTGTCTGAGTATTGGACTTAAACTTTTTGCTAGTCTGTTTTCTAGGGTATAGGGTCACAGATAAATCCACTGGTTTCTGTCCTTGGGAAGCTTTGGTTCTAGTGGAAGTGAATGACATAACCATTAGGTTATTTTGTCTAATAAAATCTTTTAGAAGAAGAGAGTCGGCTGGAATCTCTTGCACTTAATGTAACAATGTTCTTCATGTAATTTATTTTTTAAATCAATTTATTTTTAATGTGTTTATTGAGAGAGAGAAAAACATTGATTGGTTTCCTCCCATACATGCCCCAACCAGGGATTGAATGCACAATTCAGGTATGTGCCCTGACCGGGAATTGAACCCCTGACCTTTTGGTGTTGGGGATGATGTTCCAACTAGCTAAGCCACACTGGCCAAGGCTTCATGTAATTTATTTAATGTAACACTTTATTTTATTTTATTTACTTTTTAATTCTCATGCCAGGGTATGCTTTTTGGAGAAAGGAATGGGGAGAGTGAGAGAGAGGGAGACATTAATGTGAGCGAGAAACATCAGTTGTCTCCTGTATGCACCCCAACCAGGGCTTGAACCTGCATCCTTTTGGTGTGTGGGACGATGCTCCAACCAACTCAGCCACCCATCCAGGACTATTTAATGTAACATTTTAGATATACATACAGGGGTGGACTAAAGTAGGTTTACAGTTGTGAGTATGTGAAACAGTTTATTTTTGTATTATTATTTACTAATTATTGTATTATTTATTTCTATTACAATTGTAATCCTACTTTTGTCCACCCCTATATATTACTGTTGTGCCTTAGACTGAAATATTAGTATTTAGTGAGAGATGAGTGATTCTAACTTCTGTAACTTGTGCTTCATTCTGTACTTCAAGATAAATGTCACTTTAAACTTGTCTTTCATTCATTGATGTCATTAAATGATAGATACCTATCTTACCAATGCTTGTGGTTTTCAAAGATGATACAGGTAGTCTTTGCCCTTGAGAAGTTAATTTGGTGGGAAACACCGACAAGAAAACAGATGATTTGGAATGTAAAGGGCTGGCTGGTGGTTAGAGGGTTATCACAGTGCTTTGAGAGCCCAGAGGAGGAAAGGACTACCTAGCTGTTGAGAGAAGGTGGTGTTGCAAACTCTTCACAGAGGGATTAATATGTGAACTGCCACTTGAGAACAAGGGTCAGCAAAGGGCCAAAAGGCTTTATGGACCATAGCATCTCTGTTGCAGTTTATCAGCTTTGGCATTGTAATACAGAAGCAGTGATAGTATAAAAAAGTGAGTGTGGATGTGTTTTAATAAAACTACACTGAAATGTGAGTTATATTTAATTTTAACATCACAAAATCCTGTTCTTTAGACTTGTTTCAATCATTTAAAAATGTGAAAACCATTTGTATCACACAGCTCTCCAGGAGTAGGCAGTGGTCTTGATTAGATCTGCTGATTGTAATTTGCTGCCCTCCGCTTTAGAATTCTTAATAGCCTTCTAAATAACCTTAATAGCCTAGTTTGCTTGGGAGAAAGGAGAGAGCAAAACATTCTGAACTTCTCTGTAAGTGCGTGGAGCTGTTAAAGAGATGGGCTGCCTCGGTTGGTGATTTTCTTGCTTTTCCTGCAATGTGGATCACATTTTGTTTCTGATACATGAGAGAGGATTCCTGTGTGAAATGGAGGTTTGGACTAAGAAATCTCTAAGTCTTTTACCAACCTGCATTCTCTGATTCTAAGTTAATTGACTATTGGTTAAGTTGAGTATAAGCCCATGAATTTTAGATTGCCATTCTAAGTTAAAGTACACTATACTGGCCAGAAAGAATGTTGGTTTTGAAGTAAGACTTAAAAATTAGTAAATTGCAGAACCTAGATTTTATGTGGCCAAATATATAATCTCTTGGGAGTCTCAGTTTTCTCATATCTATTATGAAACCATTAGTAATATCTATTTTAGGATTATTGTAAGGATTTAAATGAAATAATGCACACAAATCACATAGCACAGTGTTGTATAATAAAAGTAGCACATTTTGGCTATTATAGTCACCTAGATCCCAATTCTTACTTAAGCTTGCCCTGCTCATTCATTTTATAAGCTTTTCAAGTATTAGAGGCAGAAATCCATCCCAGATTTGTATTAGGCTTCTAATGAGGAGCTGAATAATTCATTTGACACTTATTAAATTAATTAATGTGTATTTAGAATAGTGTCCAGTACATAGTAAATGTTATATACATGTTTGCTATGATTTTATATGCCAGATGTAGGGGATGTAGAAACAACTGAGTTCCTTAAGGCAGCTCCAAGTCTGGTGGGTGAGATATGTAAACATAGTAAATACGAGTACAATTCAGCAGTGTTACACAGTGTGTGATGGTATGCTGATATGGTAGATGGATGAAGGCTGCTTACCTGGGACCCTCCTGCAGGTTGTCATTTGAGCCTTAGAGCTTAAAGACTTTCAACTGACCAAGACTGGTTCAGATGGATTATGTTACTCATTATCTTAAAAAAGAAAAAGCTTTCTTTCCTTCCTGATTATAAAAATTACATTTAATTGTAGAAAAATTGAAGATATGGTAAAATCCACAATCCCACTATCCAGGGATAACTGCTATTATGTTTTGGTACATTTCCTTAGGGTTCTTTTTTCTGTACATATTTGTATAATTAAAACCAAACTACAGATAATAATTTTATATTCTAGATTTTAATTTAACATACCAATGAAAATTTTCAATGATTATATAACCTTAACATTTAAATTTGATGTTTTCTTCTACAATCTTTTCTCCCTACCTTTTTTTCCTTTTTTTAAGATTTTAGTTACTTATTTTTACAGAGAGGGGAAAGGAAGTACAGAGAGGGAAATATGGATGTGCTAGAAAAACATTGATTGGTTGCCTCTCGCATTCCCCCAGCCGGGGACCAGGCCTACTACCCAAGCAAGTGCCCTGACCCAGGGAGCCACACCAGTCAGGGCTCTCCCTGGCTTTAAAGCCCAAATTTGCAAGGTTACAGGAATGTTGGGATTTATCAATAATTTTGTTACAATGTTATTGAATAGGTTGTCTTGAAATTCTCCCAATTGAAATTATACTACATGAATGTCTTTGTCCATTAATGTTAATAAGTTGGTCATTTTTATTAGTAGTATAGCTATGAAGAAGTGGAATTGCACCGTGGCTGGTGTGGCTCTATGGTTGAGTGCCAGCCTGCAAATCAAAGGGTCTAGACTGATTCCTAGTGTAGGGCACATGCCAGAGTTTTGGGACAGGTCCCCAGTAGGTGGAGCAAGAGAGGCAACCACACACTGATGTTTCCCTCTTCCCCTCTAAAAAATAAATAAATAAAATCTTTTAAAAAATGGAATTGCTAGATTATGATTTCTTCATTTTGTTTTTAAGTGGATTGCCCCTGATGGTGATTATCCATAAGTCCTGGTGTGGAGCTTGCAAAGGTAAGTACAAATGATCAAACCTCAGATGTGTTCTCAGATATTAGCATTAAAAAAATATGAGCAGTGACCCTGGCCCAGTGACTGCTGATTGCTTTAAGGAATACCAAGGAAGTACATGACAGATTCCCTACCCCCAAGAAATTTGCAATTATATTTGCAGGGGGCAAGAAGGTGAGGCAGTGAAGATAAGTAGAGTATGAGATTAGTGCTACAATAGTCATGTGGACAGTAAATGTCAGAGGAAGCTGAGACGTACAGCAAGAGACATGAGAAGTTTAGGAAAGTCTTCCTGGAGGACTTGACAAGCAAATTAGATCCCAAGGTTATCTCAACTTTGTAGCATGTGCTTTTCCCTACTGTACCACCCTGCCACTTTTCACTCAGACTTTTTTCTTTGGTTATGCTATACTTAATGAAGTCCTAGTTGGAAAAGGAGTATAAAATTAGTGTAAATAGTGTAATTATATATCTATATATTAGTGGTATTATTATTCTATTGTCTGTTACTTTTCCAGTAGAAGTTATTGAAATATGTAAAAAAGCAAATAGTTAATTCTTCATTTGTATATCATTTTCTGGATTTTATAAATTAGGTAAAAACTTCAGAGAAATGAAGTCAGTCACTTGAGGTTACATAGCTATGCAAGTAAGTGGCAGAAGTAAAAATTCAAGTGTTCTGATTTAAGGGTTAGTAGTATGAATGAGCTCAGCAAATGAGACTTTAGATATAACAATGATGTTTTCTTTTATTACAAAATCTTTTTTTCCTCCTAGCTTTAAAGCCCAAATTTGCAGAGTCTAAAGAAATTTCAGAGCTTTCTCATAATTTTGTTATGGTAAATCTTGAGGTAAGACTTCTAGAGTTTCTCCTTTCTGCTATAATCTTAAGTTTTTACTGTTTTAGAATTACCATTATTAATGGTATAAAATCGTATTTAGCAGAGTTGGCTGCTTAGTATGTATGTGTTTGACATTTGATTCTTAGATTTGTATCAGAGACAGTAGAAAGCCACCAGCCTCCACTTGTGGGAGGAATTAGGATCAGTGGGCTTGGATATGATGATTAAATTTTAAGGTGTCTTCATTCTTAGTCTATGATTAGGACATATTTTTACATCTTTGTGTTGCTGATCTAAAGGTAAAGTCACACATGCAGGCTGCAAGTTCTTGCAAAATGTGATTCAGTCAAAAGCCTCCTCTGTTCTGGGCTTGTATGGACATCCTTTTTGTTTATTTATTAGATATCCTTCATGTACTTCACATAGACTATAGGTCTTAGATTTCCAAATCAGCATATCAGATCTTAGAGTTAGAAGGGCTTTTTAGGTCATTTGTACTATCCCCATTTTACAGAAAGAGCATATTAGGCCTGAAGAAGGTGACTTAGTCAAGATTGTAGAGCCTAATAAGTGATAAGAATAGGTACTGTGGCCTGGCTGCCTCCTTGTAAGCTATACCTTTCAAATGTGGGATGCTTGGATGCACTATGATGATACTTCTAGCTCTAAATTGCTATAAAATAATGTTTACTTAAACACAGTACTAGAAATTTTCTGAACACATTAACAGTTAAAAGTTGAGGCAGCTAAGGGATTGTTTTCTAATTGGTGGGTAGCCTGAATGCTGATACACTTCACTCAAGGCAAAATTAACATTATCCAAAGAAATGACTCCCTTCAATTTCTAAAATGGGAACCACACCATAAATGACAGAATTACTCTTTGTTCCTATGCATATGAGCTCCTTGCCACTTTCTATGGTAAGTTAGAGTCACTTCTCAAAGGAAACAGAAATGCCTTTAGTGATCATTCTCCAACTTTGGAGATTTTTAAAAAGAAAGCTAATTGTGTGATCATGTCTCCTGGGAGGACTATAATTTCACAACTGTAGCTGAAACATCAGCCTCATTAATTCATGCATTTGAGAAATACTGTGTGCAAGTCAGTGATGTTTTGGGAATCAGCAAAGTTCAAAACAAAGCTCTCTGGCCTCATCGAAATTATCCAGGGGGACTTGAATATGGGGAGATAAACAAACATCAGATGGCGGTAAATGCTATGGCTAAGGATGAAGGGTGCGGGCAGTAGTTTGCAAAGATAGTTTTCAAAGAAAGTAACGTTGAGCAAAGAGTTGAAGCAGAAAAGGGAGTGAGCTGTAAGGATAATGGGGAAAGTGTGTCCGGGCGGAGGGTAAAAACAAGTACGAAAGCCTGAGTTTGGAGCATGCCAGGCTTATTTAATGACAGCAACAGCCAGCAAGTTGTTGTGCTTGAAATAGGCTGAACAAGGGGTAGGTAGGATGTGAAGTTAGAGAAATGCCCAGGTGGCAGATCACATAGGGCCTCTCAGACCACTGCAAGCAAGGACTTGGGGGCTTTACCCTTCGTGAGAGGAGAAACTACTGAAAAAATGTGAGGAGAGGAGAGATGTGATCTGACTTAAGGTTTACACTTAATAGGATGAAGAGGAGCCCAAGGATGAAGATTTCAGCCCTGATGGGGGTTATATTCCACGAATTCTTTTCCTGGGTAAGACAAAAGATCTTAATCTGGGGATCCATGACGTGGAAGGAGAGAAAAATGAGTCAAAGCACTGTCCCACCTGGTGAAACCACACTGGAATGGCTAAAAACAAAAACACGCGACAACCAGTTTCAGGAGAGAGTGAGAGGAGTGCTGAGTGCCAGACCTCCAAGTCTGAAGGAGAGCTGTTCCCGTCAACTGACTCCTTTTGTAACAGTATTGATCAATCTGTTTATTCATTCAACAATAATTTGTGCATCAGCTGTAAGTCCAGCATTATGCGAGGCATTATAAGAATACGGATAAGCCTTAATTACTACCCTTGAGACCATAGTGCAGCAGAGGCAATGGAATACCATAACCAGACAAGTGTCTTAACAGGAATAATTTTATAAAAGATACTTAATGACTACCTAATCTTTACTCAGCATTCTGCTAGACTCTATGGAGGATACAAATAAAAATATAGAATTTCATTGTTATTAAACAGAAAAGGAACATATTAGGAACAGCACATGCCAAGACATGGAGGAAGGGTGTTACATTCAGGAGACTGCAAGGAGTTCATTGTGATTGCAACATAAAACGGAGTAGGGTGGTGAGATAATGGGCTGCAAAGGTGGGCAGGTCTCATTTCCCAGAGAGCCTGGTGTACTATAGAGAGTTTGAAGTACCTCTCATAATTATTGCACCCCTTGTACCATTTTGTCTACAATAGATCCCAGTGGCAAGGTGCGTCCTGAAATTATCAATGAGAATGGAAACCCCAGCTACAAATATTTCTACATCAGTGCTGAGCAAGGTATGGTTATGTTGAAAGAGAGGAGGGAGGGTTGCTAATAAGTTTAACATACAAGGTCTGTGATGGGAAACTCAATTCAAAATGTTAGCTAAGCATCTCCTGCAGGACTAACTTTTGTCTAGATCCTGTGTAGAATATAGAAGAAAGGTAAGACTGACCTCCTTCCCTAACTACTTATAGTTCACTTGGGAGCAAACTGATCCATATGGGACTGAAGAACCGAGGCTCACAGAGATAGCCACTTGTCCATGGTGTCATAGTTGATACATCACAGAGCCAGGATTTCAGTCCAGAACATAGTTTTTTTTCCTCTGCATTAATACTACTCTTGTAAGAATTCGAAGCAGGGATATGGTAACTATTAGCTGCTCAAGTCTAAACGTTTTGGGGTGTTTTTTTTTTAAGATTTTATTTCTTTTTAGAGAGGGGGAAGGGAGGGAAAAAGGGAGTGAAACATCAGTGTGTGGTTGCCTCTCATGCACCCCCCCACTTGGGACCCAGCCTGCATCCAGGCATGTGCCCTGACTGGGAATTGAACCAGTGACTCTTTAGTTGGCAGACCAGTGCTCAATCCACTGAGCCACACCAGCCAGGGCAAGTCTAAAAGTTTTTATAGATAATAAACTTTAACTGGACCTAGCAGGATAAGAATTTGTCTCTATGGACAGATAGGCAAAGGACATTTCAGGCTACAGAAGTGGGGGTCAGGAGTGGTGGTGGCTCAACAGAGAGAGTCCTGAAGGCTTGCCAGAGGAGATGATGACTGAGTCCTGAAGAATGAGACTAATCAGCAGAAAAATGCAAAAAGCATGTTCCAGGAAGAACAGCATCAGCACAGACAAGTGAAGAAGATTGAAGTCATGAGGCAGCCGTGCTTCTCACCCCCCCCCCGCAATCCTTGAGTTGTCACTCTGGATGTAGGGGTTGGAATTCATGCCATGTGCTGTCACTGTTTTACTTCTGAAGTTCCCCCTACCGTATGTAAAAGGGGCTTCTTTGTTAAGTTGCCATGTGTCCTCATTGCCATCCTACCAGGTTGTTGATCACTTTATGTTTTGAATCCTTGAGACTCTTATTTCTCAGATTAAGAGGGGAGAGAGATCTGGAGAGGGTATCTGCACCATCACATCTTCCTTACCCAAATGCAGGTTACCGGAGGTTGGTATGAAAAGGCCACATGGAGAAGAGCAACTGGACTTTAGGTCCCCAAATCTTGACCCTTGAAATTCACCTTTCCTTTAGAATTTCACCTGTGTTGCTACTGCCATCTCTACCTTGGCATCATCCTTTAACACATTAGTCTAAATTTGGACACAGACCTTTGCTTGAATCCCACATGGCTCAGCTACCATGACACTAGGACCCAGGAACCTGTTTTTCCTAAAGACTTAGGCAAAACAGAAGGGAAGTAACAAAGTATATACTATCTGGCTCTTATGAGGTTATAAACTTACTTTCTGAGATTCACAGACTCTGGCTCAACTTAACTCCGGGCCTGCCATTGTGTGGGGAGCCTGTACCAAAAGAGCTGCCCTCCTTGAAATCTAAATCCACAAGAGGGACACCCTGAGATAGACAAGAAGTTTCATCTCTCATCTGTCTAGGGCCTTCTTTCCAGGTTTCTCTTTTGCCCAAGAACTTGGCTTCTACCATGTATAGTTGATACTAGAAATGACCACCTCCTTCAGTGAAGACCATGTCCCCTTGCAGCACACGCACGTGACTGTACACATCAGCGTAACCTGTAACCTTGACAGGAAAGGAAATGAATGCAGCACTCATCCAAAAGACATAATGGGGATGGTAGGAAGATGTTTTCTATTCCTAGTGTCAGGTGAACGTGTGCAGTCTCTGACGGGTTCAACTCTAATCCCAGAGAGTAAGCAAAGGAATTACTAACATTTTGTAGCACAAAACAAATTGACAGGCGTGAAATGACTTCCCCAGGCTAAAATCCAGAGCTAGATCTTGCCTCCAGATCCCATGCTCCTCTCATATTTCTCCCAAAACCTAAAAATCTGTATTGGTTGTCAGATGTCAAATATTAAAGCTCTACTTCATATCCCCCCCCCCCAACCTTTATTTCACAGTTGTTCAGGGGATGAAGGAAGCTCAGGAAAGATTGACGGGTGATGCCTACCAGCAGAAACATCTCGAAGACGAGTTGTAACGTGAATGTATCCTGTCTTTCATCAGAGTTAGTGTTCTGGAAGGAAAGCCGCAGGGTGACCGACCAGGAAACCGTGCTCCTGCCTGCATGGGTCGGAGCCCTCTCACTGTGGAAGAGTTCTGCCAACAAGCTGGTCTCCGTGTTTGTGGATCCGCCAGCGTGTGGCCAACTTCCTTCTCCTGCCCCTCTGACCTAAGTGTCTATTTGTCACTGAATGTAAAGGACGACACCTTTTGACAAAAAACTTGAGCCATTTGTAGGTTTACTCCTTGCACTTCAGTATTTGAATCTTTTTCCGCATCCTTCTGCTTCACTCACCTTAGTGGTGAAAGGAGACCAGGAGCATCTTTTCTACAATGTTAAAATTGCAGATATCGCTGATCATTTCAAACAACAAACCCTGAATGTAAATTAGTAATTCTGCCCCCACCAAGGAGACCACCCTGATTCTTCTTTTTCTCCTGGAAATAATGTTGGCCTTCTTCCTGAATCCCTACAACTTCCTTCCTCTTTTCCTGCTTGGGCTTCCCTGTGTGCACACCTGTGTGTGTGGGAATGGCAATGTGCTTGGACTCAGCCCGGCTGGAAGCATGCCTTCCCCGTTACTGTTGGAGAAACTCAAACCTTCAAGCCCTAGGCAGAGCCATTTTTGTCAAGTTGTCAACTGTATTTTTGTACTGGGGTTAACAAAATAAATAAATATTGATTGTACCGTTACACTTTAATAAAACTTTGAAAGGAAATGTTTTGTGATAGCCTTTTTGTTATTGGAGAATGGAGGGAGGGATGGAGATCAGAAAGCAAACTAACCTTGAGGGCCTCATCTAGCATTCTTCCCACGCCTGCATCTTCCACATTCAAATGGACCCTTCAAGTTCAACTCTTCTACTTTGTACATAGTTGAGTTCCCTCCATCCTCACTCTCACTGTTTTAGCACAAGGCAGGCTTTTTGTTTTCTAGACTGTATTGTGAAAGCCTCATATTTGTCTACTACCAATATTCTCCCCTACAATCCACCCTTCCTGCTCTCCAAAATGCAAAGGTGACAATGTCAGTCCTGCTTAAAGCCTTGCCTATCACCTTCAAGATAATAGTATTAATAGCAGGAAACACTTGGGCATCATTGTGTGCCTGGCACTATTCTAAGTGCTTTATGCGAGTTTCCCCATTTTTGTTTGCCTCTGGTCCTGACAGCCTTGTGTGAAAGATGCATGCTAATCTCCACTTTACAGGAGAAGGATTTGAAGTATATGATGAAACCGTTTTTCGAGACATGGAAATGTAGCTCGGTACCCACATGGAAAACCAGTGGGGAGCGAGTTGGCACTCAGGACTACGTCCTCAAAGAAGTTCTGTGGGAAATCAGGCCTTCATTATACCTAGTCTCCTTTGTGACTTGCTCTTGCTAAGACTCTCACCCTGAGTTCAGGCAACAAACGCTTACTGCATATCTTTAAAGTAACTTCCTGAAGTCTGTGCTAATTCTCCCAAGGATTAAAGTGTAACCAGACCTGTTACTTTTATCATTCCCTTGTATTCGCATCATTTTTTCCTTGTTAATCTGTAAGAAGTAATCAGTAACATCCCTTCTGTTGCTATCTGTAAAAAGTAATTACCTAAAGCAAACCTAAGTGTAATGAATGAAAACTTTCTTTGATGTATGCTGTTAGGCAGCCAATAAGAGCCTGTCAAGGCAAAGGTCAGTGCTCTCTCCTCTTGAGAGAGTGGTCAGGCCGCTCTGAGGCGCTCTCCCCTTGAGAGAGTAGCCGTGCTATCCCTTCTCCACAGGACTCAGTAGTCCATGTGAATGTATCTTGTCTCATCCATAATGCCACGGACACTGCAGGCCGGTGTCCGTGTCACTAAGGCACAGGATAAAGTCAAGGCCTTTACGAAGAAGCTGCCTACTTCATCAACCTCATTTATTCCCATCCATGTCTTTTGCATTTTGTGTTGTGATACCAAGTTGTTTCAAGTTCTGCTCACAACGTGCTTTTATGCTTTTGTGTCTTTGCTTGGCTAGCATCCTTTGCCTAAAACTTTTTACTCATCCTTCACAGTTTGAGCAACCTCTTCCAGAGTCTTTCCTGACTTTTCTCATAAGGATAAAATGTCCCTCCCCTGATACATTTTTCTTGGCTTCACACCACATACTGTAGTTACCTATTTGCACATCTGTGGCTGTCACCAGGCAGCTATGCTCTTCTACAGCAGCGGCTGTTCCTCTGTTTTGTGCACCAAGGTCCCCAAACAATGTACATCCAAGTGAACTGTCCCATTCTGTGGTAGGTTCTTTGCATCTATTCTCTATATTCCATCAGTGGTCCTACGGGATGGGTATTATTAGCCTCATTTTATGGAAGAGGAAACTTTGGAAATGGAAGTGGTTTACCTTCAGTTTCCAGAATAAATATTGTTTTCTAGCCACCCCTATCTTACTCCAAATTCATGGGTTTTTTTCTTTTGTTTTTTTCCATCACACTTGCTTTACCTTTTTTGTGTTTCAAGGTGTAACTCAGAACAGGAGTTTTCAATCTGGGAAACATAAAGACTCTACAAGAGATACCTGAACACAGAAACTAGTGAACTGGTATCCAGATCTTCATTGTCCCCAAAATTTTCAGCATTCCTAAAAAACAAACAAACAAACAACAATTAGCATATATTCCATCAATTCCACTTCTAAGTATACCCCCCAAAGAATTGAATGCAGGGACTGGAATAGATATTTGCACACCCATGTTTATAGCAGCATTTTTCACAATAGCCAACAAGTGGAAGCAACTCAAGCGTCTGTCAATGGATGAACAGTGTGGTGTATAAATAAAACGGAATGTTAGTTACCGTCCTTTCAGGCGAATTTCAGCACCATAGCTACTGGTCAGTTCTGAGAGGATGCAGTTCCCATTTAGAACACAAGGTGGAGTATAAGACCAAACCTTTGCAAAGGGTCACTGGGCCAACTTAGCCTCAGCACGCCCTGTGAGAAAAGCAAAATAGGAGACAAGTGGGAGACTTTTTCCAAAATTAGAAAGGCAGCCCAAGTTATAGATCCTAAGTGAGTGGGAGATGTTCTTTAGTTTCCTGGGCATGTATTTGAAGTGGGAAACCATTGGCAAGCATGATGAACTTCGTTAAGAGCTATCTGATCTCTTAAAGTAGCTGATGTTTTTGAATATCCTATTATGCACCACACATTTTACATACATTATCACTTTTAATGTAACTCAAAGAGCCAGTGAAATAATTCTTATCTCCATTTTACAGATGAGCAGCCTGTGTGATCAAGAGAAATTCAATCATTTAACTAGCAAATGGTGAAATCTATATTTGAACCCAAACCTCTGATTCCAAAGCTTATGTCTTTTTTATTATTCCACACTGGTTTACCTTAGGAAGCCTTGGAGTTTAGTTTTATTCAATTCCCTTATTTAACAGAAATGGTCCAAACAGGGGACTGGTCAGTGGTGAGTGATAACTGAGGAGACCAATGAGAAATGTGGTGCCCAGGGTGAGCTCATGGACACGAGGACCCCTGACCACAGACCATGATTTTGCCCATGCCACTGATGCATAAACACCCTGCAAGAGGGGGAGGTGTTAGAATTGGTCATTTAACTATGTACTCACCCTGGGAGAATCGCCTGTCCTCTCTGTTCCTTAAGTGCCTCATCTTTAAAATAGGCTGAGTCCTCTCCATCAGGTCTCAAATGTCACTTCCTTCAAGAAACATTCCCTGATTAATCGTTCTAAGACAGCCCCTTCTCCTAGTCTTTATGTCTCATAATCTTAGAATATTTCCTTAAGTGTGCTCATCACTAACTGAAATCATCTTGTATATTTTGTTTACTCATTTCTCTCCCCTCCTAGTATTCATAACCTCTGTGTGACCAGAGATTCTGTCTGTTTCATTCATGTTTGTGTACACTTGTGCCCAGAATACTGCTAAATGTTCTCACAGTAAGTGATCAACAAATCTTTGTGGACTGAATGAATGAGTGACATAACACTGAAGAACTAGGACCAGAGGGTGAAAGCTACAAGCAGGCAGAATTCAGCAAAGACTTTCCTAAGAATAAGAGTTCCCCAAAACAAAGCAGTCTACCCTGGAAGAGTCCGTCTCCCTATCTATGAAAGTGAGTAGGGGGTCTCCCATGTTGGATTGGTCAGGGAGGGCTGAATCGAGGTTTCTTTGGATCCTCAAGTTTTGAACTAAAACCTTGATAACAGGGTGCTGTCCAGTCATTGTCAGTGTTAAATTATGGACTGGGCATTTTCTCTAATAACTGTGGAAAGGGAGGCTCAGAGGGATAGAGAAGTAGAGACAAGTTGCTTGACAGGGCTAGATTCTGCTTCTAGGATCTGTGGGAGAGGCCTAAGATGCTAGTAGGCTTGCTTAAATTCAAATACAATAAGTGAAGACAATTATGGCTACTCATTTCCAACTCAGTTGCTGCTTTTACCACTGGGTTCTGTGCCCTTCTTCTGGATCCCACTTTACCCATGGCTATCTTCTGTTCTCTTTCTTATAGAAAATGGTAACCACCCAAATCAGAAATCTCTCCTAGTTACATCAATTTCCTTTCTCCCCATGCAGAGCTCAGCAGTCATCAAATCTTGTCCTTCTCATCCCTTTAATATTCCACAGCATCTCCCAGCTAAGATCTCATGATCTCTTTGTAAGTCCCTGCGCCAGACTTTTTTTCTGGTCTCCCTGTCCCCTGTATCTTGGAACCCTCAGTCTATCTACCATTGTGCAAGCTTAGATCTGTCTAAAGCATGAATTTGGTGAAGCCTCCTCCTGGATAAAGCTCTATAACAGCCCCACATTGTCTTAATCATCCTTAGCATGGCCTCCCAGGTCCTGGCTAACCTCTGGCTTTGACTTAACCTTCCCACCTCACTCATCGCCTATACTGTGCCCATCACACATCGATGCTTCAAAGATTCATAGCCCCTGAAGTTCTCTGAAGATTTCTTATCATTTCACACCTTTGGGCCTTTTCTCATGCTGGTCCATTTGCCTGGGTTGCTTCTCCATGAGTTTAACTCCTGCTTTTCCTTAAACACTCAGCCTAAGTCTCTCTGTACCCCACGACCTGCATGCCAGCATGGTGCCTGGCCTACCAGGCTCCTTGCTGACATGTTCCACAGTGAGGAACACAGCCATATCTTGCCAAATACATTAATATCACTGATTTTAGTCCTGGCTTATTCTATTTTCAGTAGTTAAGAAACCATGGGTTAATTATTTCTTCCTCACATCTAAGGTGGTATGAATCAGTCCCTGCTTCTTTTTGTTTGTTTGTTTGTTTTTAAGATTTTATTTATTTATTTTTAGAGATGGAAGGGAGGGAGAAAGAGAGAGAAACATCAATGTGCTGTTGCTGGGGGCCATGGCCTGCAACCCAGGCATGTGCCCTGACTGGGAATCAAACCTGCGATGCTTTAGTTCGCAGCCTGCACTCAATCCACTGAGCTACACAAGCCAGGGCCAGTCCCTGCTTCTTAGGTTTATTGTGAAAATTAAATGATATGGTGAATGTAAGAAATCCTTTGTAAATATTTAATGCCTATTTATTCAGCAAATATCCTCTGACTCCTTGTAAGAATGATTCAGGAGGCTCTGTATTGGATAGTTGTGGCCTTTGTCCTTGTAGAGCTCAGACTAATAGATTTTAGCACCTGCTATCCTGCAGTAGACAATGAGGACTTTGGATCAAGGACCATTTGTTATTCACC